GTCCGGTCTTCGGGGGGGGGGGTCATGCGCGCCACACCACCAGCCGCGAAAAGTACCAACTTGTGGCGCAGCCTGAACAACACTCCCACCAGCGCTGTTCTTTCATTTCCGGCCATGCGGTGATGTCAGCCTTTAGTGGCACCAAGTTTGCCTCGAGTCCTCGACAACCACTCTGATATTCAGCCAGCTTGAAACAACGATCCATCACAGCAGTGGCCTCCTCTCCATCATCTTGATAATCACGGAACGCTCTATGTGCATTCACGCACCATTCCGAAGTTCTTGAGCCTTTCATCAGATTGTCAGACCCCTACAATAACCCGATCTCTACCTCCCTAGTCGTCAGCATTCATGGTGCGCAAGCTCACCAACGTAGTGCAGCCCGTATCAAGGGCGTGCCACTGGCTTGTAGCCACCCGCGTCCGTCGTCGGTGGTTTCTCCGGATCGCCTTGATTGTGTGTCTATTCCCTCTCTTGTTGCAATGGTTTTTGGCCTACATCGTAGGGGGCGACGCTCGTTTGCTGCCTCCCGAGCTCTTAAAGGCAAAGAACCTGCTTATCGTCACGGCCCACCCCGACGATGAGTGTTTATTCTTCTCGCCAAGCATACTGGGTGTTTTGGACAGGAACAAGAGCATCAAAGGCGGCTTGGTCGTCATGTCTACAGGTACGGTGATGAATCTTGTACTGGGGTTTTCTTGAGCATCATCCTCCCGCTCAACTACACACGTCACCTTCCCTTTGACCATATGCACCATCCGACTTGGCCGTTCAATGCCATGTCAGTTGCTGATACATGTCTTTATAGGCAACAACTATGGGCTTGGCGAGACCAGAAGGAAGGAACTTTTGGGTTCTTGCGAAGCACTTGGCATCGACACATCTCGGTGCGTTGCTCTTGACCATCCTGATTTGCAGGATAATCCCAAGGTCTGGTGGGAAGAGGCCAAAATCAAGCCCATACTGAAGGAGTACATTGAGAAGTGGGACATTGATGCCGTAAGTGATGCTTCCAAGGGGACCAGAGCGGCCATACAGCCAACTGACAATGCTCGAAAACAGATCATCACTTTTGATGAAGGTGGTGTGTCGGGCCACAACAACCACCGAGCCGTCAGCTCTGCGGTCAAGTAAGTGCTTTGCCATCAGGAACTTGCCGAGATGCCGCAGCTAACTCTCGACACCCCAAGTCAATACGTGGCGGAGAATGAAAAGGCACCAGCATCGTACATGGTTGTCTCGGTGGCGCTCCCACGGAAGTACACCTTCCTGTTGGATCTGCCGCTGACTGCACTCTCGTTCCTGTGGAGAATTCTCGCGGCCGTCTTCTTCCCGTCGAGCTCAGCGGAGCCCAAGTACAGCTCGCGCGCGCTGATATCAAACACGTGGCATCGTTACAGGATGACCAGACAGGCTTTCGCGAGCCACGGCAGCCAGTATACGTGGGATAGGCACTTGTACATGATTATCAGTCGCTATGTCTGGTTCAATGATCTGAGGAAAATAGTCGGGACGGGAACCGCGGCTTGATGAAGATGCATTTCCGCAGTGTTACGGAGCGTTGCATACCAAGACAATTAATGAATAATTTGTTTGATACATGTTGCGGCTAGTAAACCTTGGGTGTTTTATTCTCACAAGCCGATCTGGCTGGTATATGACTCAGATACCAGATCCCGCATGTATCCTCTCCCATGCTTCTTGAGCAGCTCCTCAACATGGTTTCTCGGAAGTGCCCTGGCCTCGAATCCGTTGAATCCCTTGATTGTCTCGGCTTCCGTCATGGAATTCAGAAGCGCCTCCTCGGTGGCCTCGGCGGCCGCAACAAATACCGAGTCAATGAGCATGGATTTCATCGTCTCCACAGTATCCGTCTCCAACAACGGCGGCAAACTGCCACTCACCCAGTCCCATGACGACGGCGATTCCGGGGTATTTGCGGTGGAAAGGGCCATGAAGAACTCGCCGCTAAAGTTCCGCCCGACACCGTGGCCGGAAACCTGCGAGAGGCCCATGCCGGCGCGCTGGGCTATGCGTCTAAGCTGGTGTGGGAGAAGGGGCACATTCGTGCTACAGCCATGTCAGTAGTCCTTTTCTCCCGTCATGGTGGCCATGGGACTTGCATGATCACGACGATACAGCCTTGACAGAACAGTCATCATGTACTCTGCTACAAAGCACAGCACAGTAACTCACTTCCCTCGGCAGCCTTGCCACTCTCGGTAACCCTCGGCGCCGACATGGCCATCTTTCTGGCAGTTATTCTGCACAATGACGCCAACAGTGTACTCAATGTCCCCGTCGCCTTTCAAGACGCGCGAGCTGGTTCCCGTGCCGGCCTTGAAGCCATGGCTCCGCATGGCAGTCCCGCCGCCGTGATTCCCTTCGAGAACAGCCTCCTGGATTTCGGCACTCTTGATAGCCGCTAGGACGTGTTCTTCCTCAACGGCACTTTTGAATATGTTGTTGAGCAGGCCGTCGAAGGTCTCACCGACGGTAGGAAATCCCAAGTACTGCACCTGGTCGAGCAGGTCCGCGATGCCGTCTTCCCGGAGACCGCCAGAGGGTGTCGTAGACTTTGCCCACGCTGACGGTATTCGTGAATGCAATCGGCTGTAGTTTGTCAAATTTTCTGACGGGATCACGGCTAGGGGAAATGCGAAAACCATACGCAACGCCCGGGAGAATCCCCATTCGCGGATTGGTGCACCTCCGTCCATTCACCAATGCCATCCATGTCATGCACCGCCGCCGTGTCCTTGATGCCTCGGGGGAAGATGATCGTCACACCTGTGCGCAAGTCCTCGAGGACCTGTGGGGAGGCGCCCAGGGCTATGACCCCAGTCGCGGATCCGGGATGAAGTTTTTTGAGCCACCATCTTGGAGAATATATTGTCAAAAAATTTCTGTAGACTTGTGCTTTTGTCTCGTTGAGATTTGGTTGTGTTCATTGAATGGGTTGGCGAAGCCATCGGCCTGCGGGGTAGAAGCGATTTACACGGCATGACGCCAATTTCATGGGTACAGGTTCCGTCGTAAGCATTAATTACAGGAATCGCGAGGCGGTATAACAGGAGAGCATCAGTGCCACTCGAGATTGAAGCCGCTGTCTTCGCTAGCAGTTCTCTATGGAGATTTGTCCTGGGAGAAACCTTCGTCTCAGTTCTCGCACTGCCACGATGCTTGCTTAAGGCAGATACCTTCCCGGGGTTATTGAATTTGGCCGTTTATGGACGGCCCAACGCAATTAAAATCTTCTCCCACGCACGTTTCCGCAATTTTCAAAAGTCCCCCTTTTTTGTCGGAGTGTCGGTCGACACTCGCAATTGGCTGGTCGATCGTGTACTTCACGGAACCCTGTCCCGGCCACGCAAAGCCAACGCAACAGCCCACGCTGACCGTATGGATGAGGACAATGCCACCCCACTGTATGGGAGTGCATGTGATGGCCTGTAAGCGTTTTGACCTCGGGAAGATTCCGAGGTGATTGGAAGATTGGGCCAATATGTGAAGATTTGCTGATGTCTTGGCACATGGCGCAGGAGGTGGCTTAGAAATTGGCATCACTAATAGTGTTTACAACCAGGCAGAAGTATCTCAAGCCTGCTTGGTACAACAATATGACTTTCATGTACATGTTCTTGGGTTTAACCACGTCATGTATTGTCAATAGCAGACTGTATTCGCCTGTCCATAGGTATATGCTTGTATACTAATAACTTATCTCAATTTTTTATAGGTAGTGAAAGTAGAAAACGTCCTCTATTAGGTCTTCGCTCTTCTCTACTTTATTTCCTTTTTTTCTTTATATTTCACAAAGCTGGTGTAGCCAAGAATTGTTGACATTATCTATTTGTAGCACGAATTGATATTGCGGACGCTCACAGGCATGATGAATGGTCAGCCCATCAATCTGCAACTCAGGTAAGATGACAGCTCTGTACCAATTCTCACTCCCTGTTTCAGCCGTATTGTACTCTTTATACTTTTATAAGGCCTTGGTGCTTCCTTGTCTCATGCGAATAACTCTAGGAGAGTTGTACAATGTTCCTGCCGGTGCTTGAAGACGAAGCCAAGAAAAGGCACGTCAGATATCTAGCGGAACTCATACTCAAGTAAATCCGAATATAAGCTCTTGGATTCTAATGGCAATTGCACGATATGCGTAATCTCTCCCGTCAATTATTACGCTATCTATGGTGCTAATGTTAGCGCCGCTTCGAGTATCTTTTCTCGGACTCTTGGGCACCAACTTGGAGATGCTGGGCTCTACCCTCTGGGCCTTTCTACCAAAGATGAGACTTGCAAGGAGAGCGTCATTGCCGCACAGTTACCACGGTAGCACCTTGAGGCAATAACCCTACTATCAAGACTAGGCTATGACGGCGAAGTAACTAGAGATAAGCAGGGCGGTTGTTGAATGAGTTCCTATTGATGGATGGCTGAATTATGCCTTGGTATTTCTTCTGGTGCGTTTCCGAGTTGTTGTGCCTCTTGCTGTATATCCGATCTCGAGTCATCCTCACACGATATGTACTTGGTCCTTGTTTAAGCCAGTTAACACGTCTCTGTCGATTTCAGATTTAAGCTGTTCCATGTGCGAACCAAGTTCAATACACCTAGTCGTTTTTCCTTGGCTCTTGTCGAGGGCGCAGCGAAGTGAGGATTTCCTCTCGTGTCAGCCAGGCTATCCACCACACACTTCCAGGCCCAAAAAATATGCCCAGAAAGAGGCCGAGACCGACGATTTTAGCCCAACTCGTTTCTATTAATCCGGCCGTCTTCAGGTCTCGGAACTGGTAGGCCAGCCACGTCAGGGCCGAGCCAAAAACACAGATGTAGTCGAATTGGAGAACTGTGCCCAACGCGGCTCCAGGGTCTGCTGCGGATTGCAAAAAGTACCTGGGCACGTAAACCTCGCTCCATGAGTAATGTGAACTCATGAGCACATACCAATAGGTACCTACATTGACCATGCCCAGGCAAACCGCCGTCAGTCTTGTAGCTTTCAGCCCATTATGCAACTTGACGCGCTTGGACAACCTCCTGGGCATCATCGGGAGCAGTTTACGCAAAGTCCACAGCGTGCCAGAGAAGCCCAGGAACAGAATGACACCCCATAGCCCGAACAACTGCCAGACCCAGTTCCACCAATGTCGTGCAGAGAAATCCGGGCCTAGGAAGGACTCAAAGTGAGGAACATAGAACGACAAGGCCACAGCAGGCAGTACAGCAAGAGCCGACGAGTCGCGGAGCTCCTCGAGTCCGTTGCTGGACACCAAGCCGGACAAGGTGGTTGATGCATGTAGAAAGTAAAAGTACACGGGCAGAAGCAGTCCCGCTGTGGCAAGCTGCGCCAAAAGACTCCCAAATACGGTCCTGCAGCAGGAATGGTCAGCATTCGGCGCCAGGAATAGATGGCAAAATAGCATACCAAAGCAGCAATTGGGACCCGTGAGCGCGGCGACACGACTCCAGAAGCAAGGCCGCGTAAATGGAACCAAATTGCGCTACAAAGTCCAATGTGTGCCAGTAGTAAGGCGAGTCTGGGTGGAACTGAAGCAGGCCAAAGGACGCGGCAATCTCCCCGACAATCTGGTCTAACCAGTCGATGCCTGTGAAGCGGTCGAGTAACGGGACGGTGACGCCATTGGACTGGTAACGCGAAGCTTCGCGCATGCGTCTGATTACCGGCCCAATGGTTGAGACGCCCAGGAGGGATGGGACAATGGGGAGCGACCACAGGAGAATTGGCACGGCTTCGAGGCGACGGTTGCTATTTGGAGGCGAAATGGCGACTGGTTTGGGCGCCATTGTGCCGCTGAGTCGACTGAGGTTGTCTGAAGATATCGCGGCGTAGATGAGGCAGCCAAGTGTAGTCGTCGTGCCCAGTCAGGGGCGATTGATGGACGGCGCTTGGACGACAGAATCCCTCACGACGCCGAGAGCACCACGCGACTGCTTTCAGACTTACTATTGGAGCTATTAGCCGGCAAGAACTTTGGTCGCCTCGCCATTTCTAATTCAATAAAAAACCATTGTGGGCTCGAGCAGATTTTTATTTGGACGGAGACATGTGTTATATAGGGTAGCTCATTGGACCATGCAGCATGTCCAAAGGATCAAGCGTACGCCGCTGTGATCACGGCAGAGCAAAGATAGATGCAGCCGCAATCACACGAGAGAGCTCAAATGTCGAACTTGTCCACGTTCCCAAGTGATTGTTTCACCGTTTCTTTTCTACGACTTTGCTCCGCCGTTTGCTGTTCGAGCATGCACACAGCCACTCAATCGTCCTAGTCAGGTGACGTCACGCCTAACCTTGGCGTGGAGCTGCAAGCCCGCGTTCCAACATCTAAAACATTGCGCATCTTTCCGGGTCAGACCTAGGCCCAGCTCGGGTGAAGTTACATTGTGTACCTTGTGTACTGCCGCAGAATGTCCTGGAAGGATAAGCTTAAGGGCCTCAAGGCCGACTTTGAGGGCATGATCCATCCCGGAGATCGGGCTCAGGATCAGCAACCGCCTCCACCACCGATGGCTTCCAGGCCGCCGCCAGGTCCCAGTCCGAGCTTCCACACTTATTGGGTTCCGAGATTCTACCCAGATACGCCTGTCCATGTGGAATGGGACGCAAAACTGGGCAACGGGCCTGACGGTTGGGGAAACCAGGAGCTGGAACACTACACCGCTGCTCCCGAGAATTCCTTCCAGTACGATCGTCTCACCCCTCTCGCCTCATGGAGCTGGACACTTGTGAATGATAAAGACTAACGTTGGACGTTTAGCACCCCAAACGGGCAGCTGGTCATTCGGGCTCTGGCAAACAATTCCTCACCCAACCCCGAGCAGAAATATACCTCGGCCCGCCTGGTGAGCAGGCACACCCTCGAGCGGGACCAAGGTGTCCTCACTGCCGTCATTACGTCCCCTTGTGCAGAGGGCATTTGGCCTGCATTTTGGCTCCTGCCACAAGAGCCGTTCAGCTGGCCCGTAGATGGAGAAATCGACATTGCAGAGACATGGAACGGCGACCACGAAAACAGGACGTGTCTCCATTGGGGACAGCACCACGAGCCTGACAAGCATCGTGTTTTGGGGACAAAGATCCCCGATATGCATGCTCGACCTGTCCGGTATGACTTTGCGTGGCAGCAGCCCGGTGGCCAGCCCGGACAGGGGAGGATGATTTGGTACATTGACGGCAGGCCTGTCATGAAGGCGCCCATACCGGAAGGGACGCGGCCGATGAGGGAAATGACCATCTTGTTGAATGTTGCCATGGGAGGGAATGTGTGTGCCGGGAAGACACCGGCCGACGGCTACTATGACATGGTTGTTTACACCATGTACTTGGCTAGTGAGCTGGAACATGGTGGCTGGGAACGCTTCGAGTCGGACTGGGCAAGTACGCCGTTTGGAAATACCTACTAGCTTTGACTGCTCCGTTCTTGCGCAAGCACATGGGAATATAGGCCATGCTAGGGTGTCTTCGCCTATCAGGAAGTATACACTAATATACTATAATATGTTGTAACATAAGAGCACACAAAACCGCTTCGTTCAGGACATTTACAGGAGAGCTCCTTCGTCTCATGAATACTCTGCCGCTTCGCCTCGCTCTGCCACGTCCGCCATAGACGCCCACGCCACGCCCGAAGCGAGCGGTGTTGGCGACGGCCCCCGTATAACAGAATATATTTACTTACCGTGAAATATATACATATGTACTTAACTTAATAATATATAAGGTACTTTAAATTATTACTCTTTTCAAGGCATAATTCTTAAAAAAAAAGTATTAAATTATATAAAAAAAATTAACTTTACTTATGTATAATATATATTACACCTAGCACAGAAATATATAATGTTTCTTTTATTTGCTTACCTAAACACGTCAGAGTATAGTTCTCGTAGGGCCTACCAGAACAGCTTCCGCTTACACCTAACTCTCATTAGGGCTCTTGTGAAAGGATGAATAGCGTCGAGCTTAAAGACGTCTGCGAGCCGAGGCTTACCCCTCGGCCAAAAGTGCTCGGCGTTCATTGTTTCCTTTGGCTCATTTATCTGAATAGTGATGCCATAGCCGGTATGCGCGACCGCAGCCTTTTCCCACGCGCACTTAACTTCGGGATAGAATTCGAACTCGGCGGTTTTCAGATTCGGGAATAGCTGCCAATGACTTTCCCAGAGTAATTCGGCGCCTGAATGCTCACAGCTGTAGCGGAAGAGGCAAGAGGGTAGTTCGCATCCGTAAATGGCAGTGCTGGTGTTGAATATTTCTAAACTGGCAAGATTCGGCAGGTTTTCGGCGACTGGAGCTGCGAGGAGAAGCAGGCGGTCGATGAGGCCCAAGTCATTATCAGGACGCAGTATACCCGATCTAAAGCAGATTCTCTCAAGCTTGTGCCACTGCGCCGGCAATAGAGGTTTAGTCAGAGCATTGGCTGAAGGACATTGCATTTCTACAAGCCAACTCTCCGTGCCCAAGGGCTCAACAACAGAAACTTGCTTGAATCGGTGCCCATGACTGTATAATAGCTCCATGGCAGATAATGGCTTGGTCTGTACCGGAGTTGGCCTCTTGAACCCTCTGAAATTGTCTGCAAAATAGTGAAAACTTTCAAGGTTTTCTGGCAGGGATAACAGTACATGTTCTCGAAAGTCTAAATGCGTACGTTAGCCAAGAAGTCTTTTATTGGGAACATTTCTCACATACCTTTGAGATATTTCTCTTCTTCTTGGTTGGTTCTCCTGCAAAATCTCTCCAGTCTAAAGGAGGTAATATGTACCAAGCTCTCATGGACAAGTTTGGCAAGTGCCAACGGACTCATCTGTCGCTGGAACTGACGCCTTATGAGTAGAGAGTCGACAATTTCCACTCGTGGAAGATGGCTATTCTTGAGTCCTTGGAATTGCAACAGGGACCCGAGGTATCTCTCGGCCGGATGAAAACCCTGCGGACCATCCAAAGCCAATCTGGCAGATTGGTAATGTCGTGGACGACTTCCAATAAAAAAAAGGGGACTATCTTTCGTGTGAAACGTTGTCATTTCGATTGTTTCATCGGGATTGTCCCAGCTTCTGAAAGGGTAGTCGCTATGCGTGGTGATGTCATCGTAGTAATGTCTAGAGTCACTAGAAGACTTGATGGCTAGCTCTAGGGTTAAGCCACCGGAGCGGCCTCTTGGTACCCAGGTAGAGAGTGTGCCAAGTAGCATCTCAATTGCAGCAGTGAAAATTCGGTTATTCCTACTCAAGGTGATTGATTAGCAAGGCATCATAAAAGGGAAGATAGTAGAAGATGGAACATACCGATAGATGTCAAACCAACTTTCGAGTTTTTGACATGACGGGCAAGAATAACCTGGCAACACGATGAAAAATAATATATGACGAACGAGACCAGTTCTGTGAGTGTTCTTTCCGCTCATGATGCGAGAAAGGTCTTGTAGAGCGGTATCGTCGAGCAAAAGATGACGAAAAGTCATCTTCTCAAAAAAGTATCGCCATTCAGAGCACACTGTGGCGTACAAGGCAAGTCGATGATGCCCATCGCCCTGGGATATCGAGTCCAGAATCTCGAACCGCAATTCAGTTGGAAGGTCGAGCCAAGATGCATGTATCTTTTGGCCGTCTTGCGGCTGTGTAACAGGTGCGGATGCCATGGATGGAGAAGATGGCACGAGTATAGAAGAGAGGGACACGATTTGAAGGATACCAGAATTATCGTGTAGTGAGAAATGGAGCCAATTGATATATGAATTAAAAAAAAGCACAAGGTTCTAAACTTGTAAGATGTATGGATAAATTTATTAGATTTTACTTAATTAAATAAAGTTTCCTTAGTTAAAATAAAAACAGCGATTCAGACGCTATGCTCGTCCAGCGCAACCTCGCTCAGCGCCATAAGCTTGAGGCGGAAAATTTTCTTTTTGTTACTCATGTTACCATTCTCACTTGAGTTAAATCGTAATCATTTTATTTTCCGGGACGGCAGGAGAAGGAGTTGTATTCATAACAAATAGGGTTGCTTGTTTTAAAGTTTGGGGCGGCTGCTCTGTGTTATAGTCGTAGTCTCTCCTTGGGTCTGAGTTGTAGGCTGGTATATTGGAGGCAAACCTTGAGTTTGTACTAGGAATTCATACACTGGCCTAAAAATCTATAGTAGCACGAGGATATTGTATATAGACTGGCTGCCACTGAAGCCAGTGCTCATGGTACCAGACCACCTTGACGCTAAATTTAGCTTCCAGATCCAGGATCAAGCTTAGGCAGCTTCAGTGACAGACTAGGGCTGCTTAGCTTAGCTCAAGCCACCCCGCTACAAGTTTAGTTCTTCGAGCGGAAATGGACGTTAATGGTGTGTGTCTTTTTACCGCGCGCTTCTATCGCGACATCTGGAGTCTGGTGTTTAGAACCGCATCGTTGTCAGTAAAAGTGCATGTACGATCCTATAAATGAAAATGCTTATAGAAATCCCGCCAATGCTGGCACTGGAGGTGTCATGTAATACTTACAGAGAAAAGCAAGTTCCTCCTGGTTATTGGTTAGTCTCTGGGGGCGATAAGACTCCCGAAAAGTCACAGACAAAGGATAGTACCAAGATTTGGAACACTGACGTAGACTTGGACTTGAATCATAGCTCTCGCAAGATGAGATTAGAGTTGGAGTTAGAGTAAGGGTTAAAGGGACACAGTAATATATTATCATGGAACACTCACCCCTGGCAACATAAGAAGCAGTAATGGCCGTTGTTGGAGCCATGAGTCCCAACCCTTCTGTCACACTCGGGCATGGTGAATGGTGATTTTCTCACTGAAGCCTGGCAGCTTCGCTTTGCTTTCTATTTGCGCCTGCTGATTTGAGTCTTATTCATATCATTTTCTTTAGCAAGCCGGCCCGTTTTCCACCCTGTCCAATGCTACCCGTCGCTTTTCTTGTCGCCAACATGGCGTTCTCATCCGCCGTCAACTCGGCCGCAATTCGCTCGTAAGTGTTTCGTCTAGCCACCAAGTCGCGCCTTCTTGAAAAATTACCTGTTAACAACGGGAAGTAGCGAGATGGCTTTTGAAAAACCCACCCTAGATTGTAGCGGCAAGCTGGCATATGGTCTCACCAAAGAAGACTGTTACTACATGTCAAGTATTGGCATGGCCGCCCAAGGACTGAGCGCCCAGTCTCAGTCTCAGTCCGACGACGCCTACATCTGGGTAGGTGATCAGGGACCCAACACGTTTACTTTCACCAACGCGGGCAACAGCCCTATGACACTCATTATTTAGGTTTCCTTTCTAGGCGGCGACAAAACTAGCTTTATGAATCGCTGGGCACCCCAGGTCTCGTACTCTTTGCCAAAGCAGGCAACAAGGTGGCTTGTCTGTGGTGAGTCGCGTATCTGGCGGCTGGTCTGCTCTCGTTGACCACAAGACCCGGCTTAATGTTTACGGCCAAGTCGACAACACCTGGGGTGAGTTCAGAGATGGAGAATTGGAAGCGCTTTACATATCTCGAATGGTCAATGTGTCGCGGTCTCTCATGAGTGCTCACACCAAGGGAGGGTGCACAACGGATATGGATAAATGTATATTTCGTTGTAGAAAAGGGCCAATGTGTTTGATTTCGGGCTCTTTGTGCTTGAGAATTGCGAGCTGGGTAGCCAGCCTGGAGCCTCTCTTGGGCTTCCCTTCGAAGGTATTCCAGGAGGTGGTTTGGGGAAAGTGGTGGACATGTCGACGTTGATCTGGGCAAATAGATGGCTCAAGTACTCGGCACACATGCCACAAACCCAATTCTAAGCACACCCTATTTACATATAAGCTGTGGCGCAAGGTCTAGTTTTTAGCATATAGTGATGAAATCAGAGAAGAGGTAGTAAAGCCATACATTACTCATGCGGACATGTACAATGCCTTTTTTATTCCCGAAGCCATCAGTAGCTTGAAAACCACAAGTTCATATCTATCTGTTGATTCTGCATGTCCCAGCACGACGAAAGACTATCAACCGTGTCTGGAAACAACAAGTCGTCGATGGAACTGTTTCGACTGCCGCTCTGCGAAAGGGGACCGCGTTGAGAGCTACTGACGCCGAAAGACGCATTGTTTGGCAAGATGGCGCTTCGTGGTGCGCCAGACGCCCCCAAACTAAGCACCTCACGGGCAATGGCTTGTATTTCCTTGACGGTTCTGGCTCCTTGAGGCCAAACATCGCCCAGGGATTTAAGACAGCCGATGGTCAGCCGGATTTGCTCGCGGGCAATCGATAGCTTGGCGCCGGTGAAGAGGAATTTGCAGGCCGACAGGAACGGAATCGTCCCTGTGGTCACCATGCACAGCGTGAATGGGCTATGACAAAACGGGCGTTTGGGGAGCGTCATGATCCTTACCTGGGCTTCAATAGACGCCAGGCATCTCATTGTGTGAATGGCCGTCGTGTCACTGACTGAATGGGACTCTGGCGGGGAGACGAAACAAGTCGAGATTTTCTCCAGCGGATCGAATAACAGGTTCGAGTAAGGGCGATGAAGACCCACCATGTAACTTTGACGAGAGGGAGAAGTGTTAGCCAAGTCCACATGCAAGTTAGGCGCGGAGGGAAGGATTGGGCCATGGGATACATACGCATGGATACTCATGTGGGCATAGAAGAGCAACTCGTCCATCTCGCCGGTTTTGGACATCAGAGGCCTCTTGCACTCTGGCAGTAGCAGCAGCCATCCATCTACCACGGCATCCACGGCCTCAACAAGGTCAATTGGAGGCGAGGTTCTCTTGTCCGGTGGTGTTGCCGCCAGTATTTGAGCGACACCTCTGGCTGCGCCAATGAGATATGCGAACGATGAGTAGACATGGTTGTCTGAAGCAAACTCTCTCGAATCAAAATCGGCGAGTGAATCTGGGGTTGGTATTGCCTATGAAGGGTTAGTATTAGACTCTTGTAGACAGCCATGTGCCACCGATCCAAGGCCACATACTCCCGATTTGTACTCTTGTTCCTCACATGGCAAGTCCACCGTGGCTGGAATGTCTCTGGTACGAAATTCTGTGTCGCGTCTGATAGCTGCATAGTGTGAATCCACAATATATAGCTGCCACCAGGTCCTCCTCCAACTCTCTGCTAAAACAGCATCTCCGTCGCTGTGCGCGTCAGCGAATTCCTGACGAGGCATTCCCAATAGAGTCGCGGCATCTATGGCATCATCAAGGTATACTTGAGACTGAGGTCGGTCACTGGACCAGAATAAAACGATGGAGTAGAGCAGCTGGGCCTGGCACAGAAAGGGGCATGGTGATGAAGCAGCTTTTGCGTCGGCAATGTCGCTGGCTGCCTTTGCTGCTAGTCGTCCGCTTTGATCTGAACGAGCATAAAGCGATCCGATATAGCGAATCCCCGAAATCACAGGCTTGATTCTTTCCGACTTGGCAGTATCCCTTGAATAGACTTGTAGGCGATGCCGTGGGAGGACCAAGGGATGAAAGGTGTGAAAGCACTTGTAGTACAAGTCTATGAAGGGGTCGGTTTCGAGGTCTGACAACTTCGAAGCATCAACCAGGTTTGCGCGTCCAGAACCCTGAAAAGAGGCATCAAAGAAGGGCCCAATAGCTTCAGGGAAACATTCTGAAAAGACAGGCATCGATGAGCCTGAACCTAGAGGAAGAGGTTGCTGCAGGTCTGCTACGACTCTGCCTGGGTCATGCTGCGGGCCTGTCGACGACTGTTTTGCCAACCGTTTTCTCCTGGCAGCCAAGGCCGCTCTGTCGAGGCCTCCCCGTCGTGACTTTGTGTAATTGCATTCCTTGCCATCTTCTTCGCACCGCTTGCAAACGGGCTTTGTGGCATCGCAACGAATATGTCGTGTCCGGCATGCGAGGCAGGCTATCGAAGCCCGCGAAGCTCCAGCCTTTGCGGTCGCCGTCTTGGCTTCGGGCTGCTGCTGCCCACTGGATGTCATGCTTGCTAATTGGTGCTGATAGCTTGGCCGGTAGCCGGAACATGGCGTGCCAATTTCTCGCAAAGGTCTCTCTGTTGGCAAAGACGGAGGAGGCCTGGAGGGCCAAGTGTGGTGCGGCAGGTCGAAAGCGGGTATCCGGGTATTCAGTCAGCGGAGCGGGAATCCGTTTAATCATTTGATGGGATTTTATGGAGTTGGTGCAACCTGGTGGCTTTCCGCTTGTGTCGTTCGCAACTCTAGTATGAGCGGCTGAAACGGGAAACCAGCTATTGCACCGCCACCATAACGTCAATACATACTTCAGAGTTCAGCTTGGAATTGACACTACCTACCTAGGTAGGTCGTTAGAAGTGAGCCTTTGCGGCGGGAATCCACGTCGTGGACATCACCCAGTTGGTGTGTGTTGTTTGTTGACCAAATTCTCTACCACGAGGTTGGCAAAACGGCAGAAATGGCCACCACCGGGCGAATGGATATCCATCAACTAGAAAACATGTACAGGGACGTTGCCCTTCGGCTGTTTCGGAAGTCTCGTAAAGTCAAGTTGAGTGCTGGGATCCAACATGTATATAAACTGAGGCCAAGTCCAAGTCAAGCAAATTAACAAGCCTACGCAGAGAAATCCATGCGCCCTCGTTCGAGATAGCTCTTCCACAAAAGACTAGCCATCCTCCCCGTTAACATTCTTTCATAATCATGTCACAAAGAATTCTCATCATTCTGCTAAGCTTAGCATAGCTAATGGGGACTCAATGCCTCTATGGGAGGACCATCGAACAATTTGTCGCTTTGACTGTGACACGTCATTCAGCTACCTAGATTGAGGCACCGGCTTCGCTGGCATGTATAGTGCCCTGGCTGCCCGGCGACTGATATCCCAGAATGGCAAAGACGAAGACATTGAAACCGTCGTGATCGCACCCGAGCCAACACTTGCGGTTCGGCGCCGATTTTACGAAGCGAATCCAGCCACCATGCAGACGCCTCTTGGGGATCTCTTCACAGCGACCGGGGTGAAATTTGTTCAGGGTGTCGCAAAGACCATCGACACCAAGATGAGACAGGTTGGGGTAGTAAACACTGGAGGAGAAGCAGCCGTAGTAGGATGCGACCGGCTCATTTTGGCTGCGAGATCCAAACGTTGACGGGTTAAAGGAACACACCTTCAATGTTGACCGTCTACACTCGGCAATAGAACTGGACGAACACCTTCACAGTCTACCACGGGTTCCAGATTGCCCTGTTTGCAACACTGTGATTGTCTGCGGTGGCGGTTTCACTGGCATCGAGTTGGCAGCAGAACTTCCCGCTCGACTTCGTTCCATATTGGGGCAGGACGCGGAAACCAAAGTGATGGTCGTGGAACGAAACCCAAATATTGAACCAGGCCTAGGCCCGAGCCCACGACCCGAGATTCAGAAAGCAAAGGACGAATATGGCGTGGAATCAAAACTCGGTGTTGCTGTGGTGTCTGTGGATGCTGGCGGTGTCGTAACATCGACGGGCGAGATCATCAAGGCCAGTACTATGGTCTGGACTGGTGGTATGGTGGCAACCGACTTGACAGAACAAATTCCGGGAGACAAAGACGCACTAGGACGCGTCGTGGTCAATAAGAACCTTCGCGTCGCGTAAGCAGAGGATGTCTTTGCTACTAGAGATGCTACTTACGCCGTCACCGACGAGGACGGCCACACGGCCATGATAAGTTACCGACACGCCCTTGTGCCGGGCCCTTCGTCTGGCCATAACGCCGCCGCCGATTTACTTGGTCTCCCCAACCGTTGGTATAGCCAGCTAGTGTACGGCACTTGCCTTAATCTTAGCCCTAATGGAGCAGTGGTAACGGCCGGCTGGGATCGCCAGGTGGTCTTCACGGGCAGCTAGGCCGAGTCGGTTAAATAACTTATTAATATGACTCTTATTTAGCCCCCTCTAATAGATGTAAAAGAGGCCTTTATAATTGTAGACCCGGATTATAAGTTACCTAATTTAGAACCGTAACCTATACCGGTTACTGTTAAGGCTTAAAGCGTTATTACACATGGTATAGGTGGCTAGTGGTATAGATTATTAATAAGACTGAATTGCTTTATATAAATAAACCCTTTAATAAGCTTTAATGCGTTGCTAGAATACGTGGAATTAAAATATGCATTCTTGCCTCTCCCCTAATCTTAATATTTATAAATCCTTAAAACCTAACGTTAATTCTATAGCTACCAGGCAATTATTTAGAAGAAAATCTGACTCGGCCCACGCACTCGCTATACTCGTATGGCTTGCCCGTGGTACCATGGTTATTGTCAATAACCAAGAGGTAGGTGTGGCTGGGATCGCG